TGAAAACTTTATAAACTTGAAGAACAGGAAAAAGCTTGATAACTTAATAATGTACGTCTGCCTAAAGCCTAAAACTCAAAACTGTAAATGCCCAAAATTCGAAAGTGCGCACGCAACAACGCTGTGCCTGAAATTATCTTTGAAGCTTTTGTTAACCTTTGAAAACAGGATAAAACGGTCAGTAGGATATCGAGGGTTCTTCTTCCACGGACATGAACATTTTCTTTTCTAGCCGTTCGTGCTGGTGTTTCCACACGTTGCCTTTGTGTGATAGTGCCCTTCTTGCAGCGAACCACCCATGACCTTCAGAGCTGCACACTGTCACCGTTGTTACTCGTGACCTACATAAGAAGTTGTCTTCTGTAAGGTAGCGAGTAGGGCGAGTTGGTAAGCGTTTTACATGATGAAAACAGCTCAAACGACGACGACGGAGTGAAGACAACAAACACGACCGGACGAAGCTGTTCTCGAAACTAAAGGTTTGTTAGTCAAATTAACAGAAAGAGAACAGCGTAGCTGCCACTGATTACATTAGCGAAGACCTACTTATACATTAGGCACTACACAATATTTGGAGCTGAAACGGTTCACACACCGCTAGTCATATTAGCTCGCAAAAATTGAACCTCTTTATCTGACAGAGCTACCGACGGCGCACTGTCAGCTGTCGATAAATTGTTGTTTCTTTTACCGGTGTACGATGTTCTGATTTTATACTTGCGGCTTCATTAATATACAGAATGAGAGATTACTAATATCTGAGGAATTAGTAAATATGCACAATGAACTTCAAGAATATTGCAAAAAAAAAGTTGATTTATTTTTAATGAAGTGATGAACGCGAATTGTGTTAAATTGCCACGTTTGACGCAAAATCCACCAAGTTTAAAAAAAAAATGGTCAGCCTTTCTCCGCATCTGCCGGTTTAGCGGTGAGCTTTTCTCCGGTTAGCTTATCTCCGGTGAGCTTATCTCCGTTGAGCTTATCTCCGGTGAGCTTATCTCGATAAGCTTCTTTTAAGCCTGCCCTACTCTCCGCGAATCCTTTTTGTATGAGCTTTTACCGACACCCAAGATCTGTGTCTGAACGGTGGTTCTGAAATTATCTCGGCACACTCAGTCACGAAGAAGGCAAGCACATAACAAATCGTATAGTCATTAGCAACCGCTAAATGCGCTTGGAATTTTTAAGCTAGCGCCCAGGCGAAAATTTCTAACTGGGACCAGTTGGCACCTCAACTGGTTTCAACTGGGACTAACTGGTACCAACTGGGACCAATAGGAGTCCAACTGGGACCAGCTGAGGGGTCAACTGGTTTGAACCATTCCCAGTTGGGAGTCAACTGGGACCAATAGGAGTCCAACTGGGACCAGCTGAGGGGTCAACTGGTTTGAACCATTCCCAGTTGGGAGTCAACTGTTTGACTCCCAGTTGGGAATGGAGTGAACTGGGACCAGTTAGGAAAGTAACTGGTTGGAGCGATTCCCAGTCGGACTTCAAATGCCTTTCCCGTTCCCAGTTCACACGGGGGCGGACTAAAGCCCCTTGATAAAAGCGTTTTTTACAAGTACCGCCAACCATTGTTGTGCAAGCGCTCGAGACACGTGCCATGAGCGGGTGCTCCGCCGCCATTCGCTTCCAAGGCTCGCTCATTTCAGTGCTGCGCCGCCATTTGCTTCCAAGGGCCGCTCGAGACATGGGCCTCGTGCACTCGCGCATTTGACGCTACTTGCAAGACGAGCGCAAACACATCGAGGGGCTTTAGGGTGGACTTCTTCCAAAACCGACGCGCCCCATCGCGGCGAAATACCACGCAGTGCACTGTGGGAACTAGTTGGCCACTCAGTTTTGGTTTCGATACGTGTTGTCCGCCGAACTGTGCGACATTCTTCACGCAAGTGCCCGACTGTTGCTAAAAATAATTTCGTCAATGGACAATACACACTTGCTCACCAGCAACACCAATGTAAAGTTGCGAGCTCGGTTTAAGCGAACTTATTGGTTGTTGCAGCGTGTTGACTCGTGCACAAGCAAAATCCCTGCGCTTCGCAGCGTCGAGATTCCCATCAGTGGCTCGTCCACCATACCTCGAAACGCTAAAGGGGTGTCCAAACAGGACACTACAAAACCCACGACTCCGGCAAATCGTGCCGCGCTCTGCCGCGATCCGCTTCCGGCCGTCGGAGGGAAATTTCCCTCCGTCAATTCTTCCCGGGGGGAAGCTTCCCTCCGTCAAATCTCCCCCTCGCTTCCTCCACGGCGGCCTTGCTCTGCTTATCACGTGGGTCCGGAGAGCCACTCACACGCTCTGTTGGCTGTCGGTCAATTGCTCAAGGTGGTGGTGGAAAACCTCTTTATTGGTCCTGCGAAAACCCCTACCCCTCCGTCACCCCTTCACCAACACACCTACGCACAGTCTGCCGGTGAAGCAAGCGCCGGGTTCGCTGGACGAAACCCCTTTGTCCCTCCAAGTCCACACACATCACACCATCCTTGAAGTCCTCCGGCCAATCCTGGGTCCCCGATGCCTCATGCCCCCGTTGTTCACAGTCCCACACAATATGCTGCAGCGTTGCCCGACTGTCCTTACTTACCCTGCACAAGTCACTCTCAAAATTCCCTGGGTCCACATGTCTCCCCAACACCGGGGTATACACACACATCACCTGCAGCTGCCTAAAAAGCACCGCATCCTCCCGACACAAATCCTTGTGAGGTTCCGGGAACCTCCTCCTATCCCGTCTGCAACATTCAAGATACTCTCCATAACCCAGCCTCCGCTCACAATACGGAACCGCATCGGACGCCATCACGACGAAAGTGAATCTCGACAAAGAAAGCAGATCCGAGGCGGGCGAAACGCACCCTTCGACGCAGGAATGTCCCAAATCCACCCAAAGCCGGACCTCCTTGGCCTTCGAGCCGAGGCGACGGCGGTACGCGAGGGCGTTGGCGAGGTGAGCCAGACGCAGGTGGCCTGTGACGTCAATCTGAAGAGGAGAGCAGTCGTGATCGTAAAAATTTTCACGACTCCTGCAAACATTTTCACGACTCCGACAGACCGTAAAAATAGAAGCGTCCGCTTCAATTTTCACGATTTGTCGGAGTCGCGGGTGAAGGGTCGAGTGCAAAAATAAACATGTGTCAATAAGACAAGCTTTACGTATGGTTCGCGCTTGTGCTGAAGCTTCGAGGTCTGGCCATTTAGTTTAGTTTAGAGACCCAAAACGATGCGCTCGGGACCAGGAAACGTGAGATAACGGCTGTTGATAATCCATGCTCTTTGTATGATTCCTTCTCGATGTGTCGATCGAAACCGAAATCATGCCGCTCTCCTCCCTGACCTAGAGCACTATATAGCTCCTACGAAGCAGAGTAACGCAATCCTTTGAACCCCGTGTTTTGCCGACAACATGGCCGACAGAGCGGCTCGGCGCGAGTCACGTGGTACTCAGGGTTCCAGGAGACGGCCCGCCCTATGGGAGAATACATGGAGATCGACACAACACGGCTGATTAAACAATGAACGGCGAGTTCACACTTTTCAAAACTAGTCTGTCGTGAAGTTGGTAAAGCACTAAACATTTTATCAAAGTTTTAACAATATCGGATGCGTGTGCAAATTTTGAGAAGGCAATTTCCAAGGCAATGGCGTTTGAAGCAGACGATTTTTCCTCGCAGCGGAGATGGGCTTTTCGGTTTGGCCGGAGCGGGTCACGTGAATGGTGTGACGTCGCCGTGTCGTCTGCTGCATAATGCCGCTCAGGCAATTTTTTTAAAAAAAGTCAGGTCCTTGCGGGGCACAAAACTTAGCGCAAATTATTCTAAAATGTTCCATTATTATGTCAAAAATCATTGCGATTCCGTACATTCGCACAATACTGGAGAAACAACGATTTTCTCGCGTTCTCCATGCATTTGTGACCGCAGTTGGAACCTCCGGGCGTTCGCCGCTAGTCGCCGAGAGGCGGCGTTCTAGATAGCGCTACTTAGAGCACTATATAGCTCCTACGGAGCAGAGTAGCGCAATCCTTTGAACTCCGTGTTTTGCCGACAACATGGCCGACAGAGCGGCTCGGCGCGAGTCACGTGGTACTCGGGGTTCCAGGAGGCGGCCTGCCCTATGGAGATCGACACAACACGGCTGATTAAAAGATGAACGGCGAGTTCACACTTTTCAAAACTAGTCTGCCGTGAAGTTAGTAAAGCACTAAACCATTTATAAAAGTTTTAATAATATCGGATGCATGTGCAAATTTTGAGAAGGCAATTTCCAAGGCAATGGCGTTTGAAGCAGACGATTTTTGCTCGCAGCGGAGATGGGCTTTTCGGGTTGGCCGGAGCGGGTCACGTGAATGGTGTGACGTCGCCGTGTCGTCTGCTGCATGATGCCGCTCAGGCAATTTTTTAAAAAAAGTCACGTCCTTGCGGGGCACAAAACTTAGCGCAAATTATTCTAAAATGTTCCATTATTATGTCAAAAACAATTGCCATTCCGTACGACCCCACAATACTGAAGAAACAACGATTTTCTCACGTTCTCCTTGCATTTCTGACCACAGTTGGAACCTCCGGGCGTTCGCCGCTAGTCGCCGAGAGGCGGCGTTCTAGATTGCGCTACTCTGCTCCGAAGGAGCTATATAGTGCTCTAGCGCTACTCTGCTCCGAAGGAGCTATATAGTGCTCTACCCTGACCTATGCCCTGGCCAACTAGTTCCCAGAGTGTTGCTTGCACGGATTTATGGAAGTAGTCCCAAATCTGCGAGCGCTCGCTATTTCCATGAGCAGTGGTTATCAAAACAAGGTACCTAGGAAAGGTGGCGCAAGCTACCGCCCATTATCAAGGGTATAACAGTACAGTCCAGGTCCACAGAGCCGTATGGTCCAGCTGCAGTCCAGGTTAGCCAGGTTACACGGCTCTGTCAGGTTCGCCAGGTTAGCATCTGTCCATCCATCGATCTTTTCTCAAAGTGTCTCGGGTGGGGCTGGAAAATGCTTGAGGATGTGAAAATGCTCCAATTTCTCCGAGTTTACCAAAGTTTCAAGGTTTCTTCACGATCAGTGTGTTCAAGAAAAGCCCACGCTGGGGCAAGCCAGTGACCCTGTCCGGTTGCAACTACGGTGAGCACGATTTGCTTCCTTTGGCCATCAGAATGTTTTCTCGGCAAACCTTGTCGTCTTCAGCATTACGGCGACAAAGCCGTAATGCTGATAGAGATGTCCTCATCAGCGAAGGCCAACAATGGTCACAGATTGGACATGACGATTGCATCAACGGACGGCTCAAACTTGGCACGATGCGGAGCGCTGACTCAGTACTCATTTCCAATTCGTCCAGCGACGGCTTTCTCTGGTGCCTCAAAAGCTCAAAAGAGCCGGGTCGAGACCGAGTATCCGACCCCTCCCCGCATTAATATTTTAGAATAGAGCGTGTCACCCTTCGAAATTTTTATTATATATATATATTTTTTTTTTTTTTTTGCAAAAATAAACTATGCATTGTCGAGTGCTTAGTTTCCGTCCAAATGTGGCCCTAGAGGTCCAAACCTGAGGCCAACGTTCCAGAACCAACCGTTATCTCGAAAGTTGTGAGTGATTTTTTGAAAGTTTCGATAGACAAATGCTGGCTGCTGGAGCCGTTGAATAGATGGAGCTGAATGGCGCAAGTTACTGAAAACGTATTTTGAACAAGATATCGGTTGGTTCTGTAATTTTGGCATCCGGTTGGGACCTCTAGAGCTACATTTGGGCCGAAACTGAGCATACAGCGATGCATAGTTGACTTTTGCGTTTAAAAAAATCTAAATTTTTTTTTTTTAACCTATTGTATTAGGGGAGGGGCGGTTGGCTTGCTCTAAAAGTGGCTCTCATGAAATTTTAGTATGAGAAATGCACCACCTAAAGACACCTTTGTGGAAAGTTTATTTCAACACTGTCTGTTGGCTTATTTATATATTTTTTAAGCCGGTAGAGGGCTTTAGAACCCATTGTAGAATGGGGTTGAGGAGTAATAGCCTGGCATCAGCAGTGCACACATATTGCATTGTAAAGCACCTTTCCATTGTAGCAAACTGGAAATTCCAGATATCTCATTATTTCCTCAATGAGTGTTCAGTCCTTTAGTACATATGCTTTCCCTTTAAATCGCTTGTAACACAAAATTTTTATTGCCATTTGTTGCTTCTGATGTTCGTAAATTGTTGATTTCTCTCATTGTGAATAATGCAGCTACCATAAGTGCCTTTAAATTCGGACAGCTGGGAGAATTATGCTCTGTGCTCTCATAGCTATCAAAGGCCTGTATGTAGCCTTTGATAGCTATGATACGTAGCTAGCCTCACAAATGCAAATAACGACAAATGAACTGTGCAAGCTGCTGCCATTGCCAGCATCTCATAGTCATTGTTCAGTTGTTGGAGTGTACATGTGCTGGCTGTCACTTGCAATAGATAGTCATACTTGAAATTTTAGAAATTTTGTGCATTTTGAGATTCATTGTGCACAGAACAAATAGCTCTTAGCACTCAAAATGACCACGCAGCAAAGCTTTTGTTCCCCTTCCCTCTTTCAAAATAAACGTAAGATAACAAAAAAAAAAAGATGAATTTTTGATCAAAATGAATAAAATTTTCCAATGGATCCCAGAGATTTAGAGCTGATAGCAACATTATTAAATTTCTCTGATTTAATATGGAGGCATTTAATTTCATGTTGCAGCTCTAGGCAGTGGAAAACTAGACACATGGGGGAGCTGTTTCTCCTTTTCCTTAGTCTTGGATCTCCATCACAGCCCATACCAGTTGAAGCCTTATTATCTAGCTTTCAACTATTTCTGGGGTTGTCAGGTTTGACCAATCATAGGAATTTATTGTGTTCTCAATATTTTTGTTTATGTTGTCCAAATCCACTATTAATTGCACAAACAACCCTGAAATCAAAAGGATTTGCAATGGTTTGCCCAGTGCTTTTAGTTATAAAACAAATTGTATCTAGTTTTAGGAACCTACTGCAATGACAAAGTGATCTAAGATAGTGACAGTCAAATATGACAGCATTTATTTGCTCACGTTATAGGACTGCTTTAAATTTTTTTAGGTTTCTCAACTTCTACCTGGAACAAAAATGGCACACACCTGAGGGAAAAGAACTTTCAAAGGAGGAAGTACTTGCTTGTCAGAAAGTAATTGGACGTTGCCTATCACAGAGGCTGATGGACATTGCCCGTGACCACCTCGCTCGGAATGCCTGGCTACAGATATGATGGGTATTTACTTTCAGTTTTACCAAACCTACATTTATGCGTCTTTACAATTAACAAGCCATAATTTTAGGTCAGCAAAGCTGCCATGTTCATTTATCATGATGATACCATACACATGCTTTAAGGAGAAAGGGAAATAGAGACATTGATGAGCTGGCAGCATGAGCATTTATTGAAGGTCCTCAAGAACCACGACGGTTGCAGCGGTGGGCTCAGTAAAGAGGGAGAGAAAAATGAGGTAGCTGACCAAAAGTGAGAAGGAGAAAAATGACCTAGAAGATGGGAAACTGAGTGCTGAGATTTAACCCTAGACCACAAAGAGGTGTGTTGTGGTTGTTGACAGAGACATGCGATTACAGGGTCTAACAAGCTAAGAAACGGGGCTTCTATGTTTCCAGGAAAACTACACATGTTAAAAGCCTTAATTATCTGCACACCTTATGCCACTAGTCATTCCGTTGGAAATAGACATTTTCTCTCTGCAATTCTCACCTCGAATAGTACATCTCTCTCCACAACTACAGCCCACCTAGGTCTGAAGTCATTTGTCTGCCCACTTTCCTGTCTTCTAGGTCACTTCCTTCTGACTTATTCCCTCCTTTTTTTCTTACTTACCGCCCAATCTTTTCTTTCTTCAATCTTGCCGCTTAGGACACTGTTGGCATGGGGCTCATTCCACGCCAAACATCCCAGACGTTACGCTTGACCATTTCCCATTTTAAAAAGAAAATTCATGGCTCTTTACCCCAAAGTCCGTAACCTTTTCCTAAAATACTTGGAATGAAGAGCGTGCTGGTAGGGGTAAAATATAATTAAAGGAAGAACAGAAAAGACCTTTTATGTTGTTTCCTTATTTATATGTTCCCTAAAATATTTTTGCCGAAAACATTTTTTTTACGGCGTGAGCGTGTTTTTATTTCTTAAATGGGCATACAACTAGGCATTCAATAAAGGAGTGAAAGTCTAATTTTTTTCAAAATGCCTCGGATTTTATTTTATGAAATTCGAATGGCTTTTACCTTGCTATGTTGTGATGTTTATGCAACTTTAATTGTTAAAATAGTTTTAGAAACCTCATCAAAAACCTTTTTTTTGCAATTTTCTTAATCTTTTTTGTTTAATTATCGCTCTGCACCTGGTAATTATAAGTTTTTTTTTGCTATTAAAAGCCCTGTAGACATTTTACAAATAAAAAAAAAATGTTTGAAGCCGCATAACGAAATACCTCATGGGAAAAAAAAATATTCTAAAGTTGTGAAAAAGTCTTTCTTTTTTTTTGCCTAAACATGCATTTATTTTATTATGACGTTGTCAGAGTACAAATGTGAAAGATACCGACATTGGAAGAAGAGTTTGTCTTTAATTTCTGAAAGTTTATTCAAAATAATCTTTTTTCTAAAGCAAGAAAAAAAAATGTTGAAGATGAGTTGCCTTTGCTGCAACCTTCCATTGTTTCTTAGCGCCTCTTCACCGCACTACACGCCACCTTACACGAGAGTTGAGAAACTTTGCGATCATGGAAGGCATTTGTTGGTTCAGAATGTGATTTTCGCATAGGCTTCTTTCTACACATGCACATTTTTGACTCGCAATTGCCTCACATATATTGTCACTGTCTACAGCTAAAGAGGTACCGCGGTTTGCCGCGGTCGCTTGCACTTGTCCTTCTTTTTGGCTGTAACGCACACAACAGTGGATATGGTGTGATAATCATAAACGCTGTCACTGCATAGCTGGCTTCTTTCACCCTTTGTACCAGTGTCGGCTCTCCTCACTTTGAAACTTGATGCCTAACGGCCTCATATCGCCTAAAAGAAAGTTATTCCCTCAGGAAACGCAATGTCGACCAAGTGAGATCCCTACTGGCATATTGAAAGGAATGAACCGACAGTAAGGAAGGGCAAAAAACTAGGGGTATTGTTTCGGACGACCACTAATTAGTAGCAATCGGGAATCTAGCCAAGAAATTTTAGTTTTTGTAAGAGTATGGTGACATATTGATGTATGGAGCAGGTCACTCGGCACAGGCAAGTCATCCTGCAGTTGATGCGGATGCTGATGAGGGTAAGCAGGAAATTCTAATTGTTGATGATGATTCTTTTAGAGCGCAGCTCTTAGGCGCCCGTTTCTGGCTTGAGCGGCGTCCCCGTCGCCATAACCGCGCGTTGCATTTTGGGAAAATTTTCCCGCTAAATCTAGCGGAAAAATTTCCCCACTAAATCTAGCGGAAAAATTTCCCTGTTAAATCCAGCGGAAAAATTTCCCCGCTAAATCTAGCGGAAAAATTTCCTCGCTAAATCTAGCTGAAAAATTTCCCCGCTAAATCTAGCGGAAAAATCTCCTCGCTAAATCTAGCGGAAAAGTTTTCCCGCTAAATCTAGCGGAAAAATTTCTCCGCTAAATCTAGCGGAAAAATTTCCTCGCTAAATCTAGCTGAAATATTTCCCCGCTAAATCTAGCAGAAAAATCTCCTCGCTAAATCTAGCGGAAAAGTTTTCCCGCTAAATCTACAGGAAAAATTTCTCTGGAAGGCCGCGTGACCCCCACATGACCTCGGGGAGGGGGATCACGTGACCTTGGGGGTCACGTGACCTCAAGATGGGGCGGGGGCGGGGGTCACGTGACCCCTCCCCCTGGTCACGTAACCCCCCCCCCCCCAAAAAAAAAAAGAAAAAAAAGAAAATGTCACCCTTAGTACCCTCCCCTCCTCCTCAAGAGCTGCACTCTAATTCAGCATTACAGGGAGCTGTAAGCGGCTTTTATTTTTTTTTTGTTAGGGGCGAAGCTCCTTAGGGGCTAACCATGTTTGGCGTCGGGTGCTCGTGCTTCGCTCGTGAGTTCATGTGCTCACGAGCACGTGAGCACGTGTTCCTAAGGTTGTGTAAGGAAAAAAAAACAAAAAAAGCGCATCTTTACGTGGTGAATGATGTTGATTGGGGCGAAGCTCTGGTGGTGCTTGTCTGCGTAGACGCTGAGCCGCAGCATGCCGAGCCTTTCGTTCATTTTCATCCATGTCAGAAAGAGAATGGGTGGTATGGAATGTGGTTATATGCGCATATGAGCATTTGACCGCAGCGTGACATGGATGAAAACGAATGAAAGGCTCGGCATCCTGCGGCTCAGCGTCTACGCAGACAAGCACCACCAGAGCTTCGCCCCAATCAACATTTTCACAACATTGAGATGCAGTTGTTTTTCTAAATTAGGAGGATAGTTGTATTGTGTTTACTCATTTCTAATGTGTCGCCAACTCTGTTTAGTTGCTGCGGTTCAATTCATGCCTTTTTCGAACCACCTTGACCGTAAAGAAAATTTAAGCTGCATGTCATTTGTTCTGTTATGCTTATGCATACCTGCCAAGTTTTACGATTTTATCGTAAAGTGTCTGCTTTCCAGCGCTTTCTTGAGGTTATCGTATTAACAACAATATTTGTATAATTTTCCGCACCCCCCTGTAAAGAAAAAGATAATTTTGTTTAAGCTGCATCTCACTTGTTTACAAGTTGGGGTTGGCAACACTGGATAATGACTTGTATGCCAGGGGGCGCAAGCTACCGCTCCAGTGATGTAAGGGGTGGTATAGCCGCTACTGAGCTGAGCGTCTAACATCCATCCATCCATCTGAATCCAAAACTAGAAATCTCCTCTGTTGTGGCGAACGTTGTACGTTGTGTTACTGGAACTTTTACTCATGATCCCTTGAAACCATCTTTGCTACAAGATGGCGGGAAAAAAATACTTGCAAGTGTTTATTCCCAGCTATTTATCCGACTTTCCATTTCTGAAGACGTCGCGCAAGGGCGAAATGTTCACATTTTGTAGTCTGTCGCTGCGATGTCAACATTTCGCACGCTGGTCGCCGGGACATTCTGTCATCTGAATACAAAAAAACACAAGGGCTCTGCAAATGTAGATGAAACCAACGAGAAGCTTGGAGGGTACTTTAGTCGATCAACGGATTACGACACTACCCGAGCAGAATGCCATTTACGACATTTTTGATTGAACACAACGTGCCGTTTACAGCGGTTGTGGAGACGTTAAAGAGCAAGAACTTTGCTCTTTAACGTCTTCGTTAAACCAGGCACAGGAGAAAGAGTTTTCAGCAAAGTGAAGGAGGCACACACGCAGTTCCGCTCCTCTATGTCGAAAAAGACTCTTGAACAGTTGTTAGTTGTGAGATGCAGCCAGTCTGGAAAGTGCCATGAACAAGTGTTCGACAACAACTTCCTAAGAGAAGCATATGCTGAAACTTCCTCAGTGTTGACCCAACCTTCTACTTCTAAAGAATAAGACATTTCGTGCAATGTATGATGTGTTTGTGCCCTAGTTGAGGCATTTTTCTTAACTAAATCAAGTTTTTGAAGTATAAATCAGTTTTCGTATTCCTTCACACAATAGTAGTGTTTTTTGGCATCCCCTGTAGTATTTACATCATTGTAGCTTGGCAAGTCTGCTTATGTGACACCTATCCGAGTGAAAGTTGTAATAGTGCATTGATTTATCTGCAGTTGACCTGGTTCACTTGCCTGTCGCTAAACCAGCACGAAAAAGTTTTTAAAGCTGAATATACCGGTTTGGATACAGTACTAGCCTATGTCTTGAGGGACGTGATTTTTATGTGCCTGCATTAAGCGAATAGTTAAGAGGGCTTTCTTTTATGTGCAGTGCCTACCATCAAGATTTCTGGTTTGTTCGCAGAAGTTGAACTTCCTCCGTGCTTTCTTGGTTCATGTGGTTGCCACAAAATCACGTAGGCTAAGAAGCAGTTTCTGATTGATGCTTAAAGACCGACCAACGAAACCATATTCCGCAAGGTAGGAGAATGCCCCTCGCACCCTCCTCTTTTCATTCTCTCCCAAAAATCATGTGACGGCAGGGGCTTCCTTTGTGTCTGCTTTTTCTGTATGGATAATCCTCAAAAAGTGTGCAATGAGCGGCTAGCTGCGAGCGCCACAACGACCTTGAGACGTCCAGGTGCAGGGGTGTGACATCTGCCCCAA